ATGTAATGAAAAAGGAGTCAGTTCTCCAAGAAGACGTAACAATCTTCAATGTGTATGTGCCTAACAACAGAGCATCAAAATATATGAGTCAAAAACTGATAGGACTTCAAGAAAAAATAGATGAATTCATAATTATAGTTGGAGACTAACACCACTCTATCACTAATTGACAGATCCAGCAGGCAGAAAATCAGTAAAGATATAGTTGAACTGAATAGCCCTGTCAATCAACTGGATCTAATGGACATTTATAGACAACTTCATCCAACAAAAGCAGAATACACATTCTTTTCAAGCTCACATTGGACATTCACCAAGATTGACTACATCCTGGGCCATGAAACATGCCTCATCAAATTTAAAAGAATAGACACTATACAAAGTATCCTCTCAGACCACAATGAAATTGAATTGGGAATCAATAAAAGAATGATTGCTGGAAAATCATATAGTATTTGGAGATTAAACAATACACTTTCAAATAAAACATGGGTTAGAGAAGAAGTGTCAAGATAAATGTTAAAGTATTTTGAGATAATTTACCAAAATATGTGGGATGCAGCAAAAGCAGCGCTTACAGGGAAATTTGTAGCATTGAATGCATACATTAGAAAATAAGAAAGACCTTAAATAAATCACCTAAGCTTCCATCTTAGGAAACTAGAAAACAAAAGAGTAAATTCAGTCCAAAGTAAGTAGAAAAAAACAGGCAATAAAATTAAAACAGGAATCAATGAAATTGAAAACAGAACAATAGTAGAGAAAAAATAATACAATCAAAAGCTGGTTCTTTGAAAAGGTCAACAAGATTGAGAAACCTGTAGCCAGACTAACCAAGAAAAAAAGAGAGTAAACAGAGTTACTCATATCAGAAATTACAGAGGAACCATTGCGACTGACCTCATGGACATTAAAAGGATAATACAAAGTATTATGAACAACTCTATGGCCACAAATTTGGTAACTTAGATAAAATGAACAAATTCCATGGCTTGTTTTTAATGAGTAAGATATGGCAAAAGTGATGGGCTCTCACTGCATCTTTCCTCTTGGGATCTCTCTCTCCCTCTCTCCAGCTACCATGCTGTGAGGAGACTTAGGAAGCCTACGGATAGGTCCACATGACAAGGAAACAAAGCCTGACAACAGTCACATGAATTAGCTTAGAAATGGGTCTTCTTTGGCCTGTCGACAACCATGTAAAAGAGCCTGGAAGTGGACCTCTTACCCTACTTGAGCCTTCAAATGAGACTGCAACCCTAGATGAGAGGTTGGGTGCAACCTCATAAGAAGCTTTGAGCCAGAGGCACCTAACTAAGCCATGCCTGGATTCCAGACCCATAGAAATCGTGATATGATAAATGTTTGTTGTTTTTAGCTGCTATGTTTTAGGGAAATTTGTTATACAGCAATAGATAACTACAACATACTCTTTGACCAAGAAATTCTATTTCAGTGTTTCTATACTGGAGCAATTTATTTCAATCCTTTTCACATCAGAACATATATTTAAAATGCTAATATTGTGTCAGCTCATTGGAATAAACAGACAGTGTGCTCTTGGCCAGAGGCAACAGTCCCTAGGGGCAGCTGCTGAAGCCAGAGCTACCTTCCTGTAGATCTAAGGGGATCAATATATCAGAACACTTATAACTCAGTTGGGAAGCTCTGCCCTGAAGAAACTCTTCTATGTAGGCACAAGGAGCCATGCACTAGGATGTTCATTGAATCCTCACTTATAATTGCACAAAACAGAAACAGTAGGAAAAGAGATAAATTAGATAACTTATGCAAAAGAAGGCCATACAATAATACGTTATAGTAATATATTGGATAATTGATACAGTAATATTCAGCAGTTAAAATGCATGACTTAGATCTACAGGTATCAAAATTGCTGAGTTTCAAAAATCAATAGAGTGAAAATCTAAGTTGCAAAAGTATATATTTATAATGATACCATTTGCATAATTTAAATACATGAAAAAAATTGTGTATTGGTCACAGATATATATATATATCTGTAAATATATACTGCATATATGCACAGATATATATATACACACATCTGTAAATATATACTACATATATGCATATATGTATATATATACACATACACATACATATACACATATACATATATACACATCTATCTATACATAGATATATATATACACACACAAACATGAACAAGATGAGAGCACATCAACTTCCAAATAAGGCTTATTTTCAAGAGAGAGGTCAAGTGAATAGGATGAAGTGAGAGCTTCAACTGTACTATTTTGTTTCAAAAACAGAAGGATCTGAGGATCTGGAGAAAATAAAATTTGCGCAATCCATGTGACAGGTGCATTCAAATGTGTATTTTGTATTCTACTTTTCTGTATAGTTGACATATTTAAAAATATTTTATAAAGAAAATGTATCCTCTCTTGAGTCCAAAAATACATATACAAGCTGGGCATAGTGGCTCAAGCCTGTAACTCCAGCATGTTGGGAGACCGATGCAGGTGGATCGCTTGAGGTCAGGAGTTTGAGACCAGCCTGGTCAACATGGTGAAATCCCATCTCTGCCAAAAAATACAAAAACTAGCTGGGTGTGGTGGTGAGCACCTGCAGTCCCAGCAACTCAGGAGGCTGAGGCAGGAGAATTGCTTGAACTTGGGAGGTGGAGGTTGCAGTGAGCCAAGATTGCGCCACTATACTCCAGCCTGGGTGACAGAGCAAGACTCTGTCTCAAAAAAACAAAAAACAAAAATACATATACATTCAGTATATTGTATTGTCCCATTTCCTCATATCATTATTTATTTTGCAGTCTATTTGATTTATCTATACCATAAGAAATGAGGTGAAGTTTCCCACTATAATTGCAGACTTCCTGATCTCTCTTTATATTTCTAACAGTATTTGTTTTATATATTTTGAAACTACGTTGTTTGGCACATAAATTTTTGTGACTATCATTTTTTTTTAAAAAATGCGTTGTTCTGCAACATGCTTTTTTCACTTAATATATTTATATTAGATCAGTACGTATATACTTGCCTTATTTCCTTTCTTCTTCTCTTTCTTTCTTTCTTTCTTTCTTTCTTTCTTTCTTTCTTTCTTTCTTTCTTTCTTTTTTTTGAGACGGGGTCTGAGTCTATTTTCTAGGCTGGATTGCAGTGGCGCAATCTTAGCTCACTGCAGCCTCAACCTCCGGGCCCAAGTGATTCTCCCACCTCAGCCTCCCAAGTGGCTGGGACTATAGGCATGTGTCATTGTGCCACGGAAATTTTTACATTTTTTTGCAGAGATGGGGTTTCACCATATTGTCCAGGCTGGTCTGAAACTCCTGGGCTCAAGCAATCCTCCTGCCTTGGTCTCCCAAAGTGCTGTGATTACAGGTGTCAGCCACCATGTCTGTACATGAGCCACCAAGCAACATGTTTAAGTAAATTTAAGCAATTTATTTATTGAGGAGAATTAAAGTGGTTTGCATTATCTTGCTACACTCCTATTCACATATCTTTCTCCACTTGTGTGTCTCAATAGAACACACAACAGAGAAGTTGACTAGAAGTAGAATTGCTAGATGAAAATGTATCTCCATTTAAAAAATTGATAGCTTCAGATTTCTCGCCAATGAAGTTCAATTATTATTATCATTATTATTATCATCATTATTTTGAGACAGCATCTTGCTTGGTTGTCCAGGCTGGAGTGCAGTGGCGTGATCTCCACTCACTTCAGTCTCAACCTCCTGGGCTCACACAATCCTCCTGCCTCAGCCTCCTAAGTAGTTGGGACTACAGGCACACACCACCAGCTTGTCGTATCTTTCTCAGTGAATAAAACAACCTGTATTGTTCTCTTTAGTGCTTTTTACTCTGAGTTCTCGATGTTTAGGATATTGATGTTGTTACGAGTTTCTTTCCTCCTTCCTTTTCTTTCTTTTTTTTTTTTTGCTTCTTTCTTTCCCTCATTCCCTCCCTCCCGTCCTTTTTTTCTGCTAGTATTTTACTGTCATATATATATTTTTTCTATTTCTGCTTTAGGTGAAACTCACAGAAATAGTATATAACTTGACTTTTAAAAACAAAATCCTCAAAATAAGAGTTTGGTTTTTATTAGGAGATGTTAACCCATAATGCATGCTGATATATTTAGATTCCTGCGTTTTTGTTTACTTTTCGCATCCTTTTTTTTGTACACCCCCAGCAACATTTCTTGACCTTTGTTCAGAATGAGTTTTTCTCTTTGTTCCACATATTATTACTTTAATGGTTTGAAAGTTATACATTCTATTTCTATTATGTTGCTACCCCTAAGATTTTTGTTCTCTTGTGCATTTTGTTTCCAGTAAGAACAAAACTTTGCTACTGTTGTGAACATAGGAAATGTTTACATTGGCTGTAAATATTAGAGTTCCATTATAAAGCGCAATTTAAAGACTTCAGAATTCAGTAAAATGGTATAAATCCAAAAGGCATAACTGTAATATGTTTTAACTGCAATGCAATACCAGAATATGAACCTGTGTTGTGTCTTATGATCTCTTGAATAGAGAAGCTTGGTTTTGTGATTAGCAGCAACAAATTCAACACTAAACAGCTTCAGTTTGCTTTAACAGTAAGGTTAAAAAAATCTAAGCTTACTGCAACCCTAAATATAGTTTCACAGGTTTAATACTTTCGGTACAACCATAACACGTAACATAGGATGTGATGTAGTAACGTAATTACTCTCACATTGGACTTAATCAGAAAGAATTTGCAGATTTTATTTTATTAAAAAAAAAAACAGAAGGGAATATAGCTAAATATTTAACATTAGTTAAAGCTGGGTGTTCGTGACATTTTTCGCTGTCCTTTGCTGTATCCTTGACGATTTCATCATTTAAGATGAAATAATGCTTTCGGGCCCACCCTGATTTGTGGAGAGCAGCTGCCGCCCCCGCCACATCAAGGGGGCGGGCTCCAGCTGACTTCACAATCACTTCCGCCGCCGCAGTCGCCACCCGCCCCGCTGCTGTCTGGCGGGGGAGGAGCTCGAGACCGGGAGCAGCGGCTCTGGCGGTCGTGGCGGTCGGAGGTCCGAGAGCTCTGCTTCTCTGAAAAGCGTGTGGCTTTCTGGACTTGGTGAGTGAAAGGCTGATTGTTTCCTCGATTCATCCGGGCGCTGGCGGTGGCGCGAGTGGTCGGGCGCAGTGCGAGTGGCCGGGCACGGGGACGAGGATTTTGCGGGGTTCCTGGGAACTGCTTTTCAGGTTCGCCCCTCGGGAAGGGGTGGGGCGGACGCGGGACCTGACTGCAGAGTGAGGCCCATGTTCTACATCGGCCTGTTCTGGGGCCGCATCCTCCGCTGCCGGGAACCCCTTTCGTGTGGCGCGGTCCCCACTCGAGTGGCTTTCATCGCTATTGGGAGGGTAGTGGTGGTCGCGGCCCTCTCCCACTTCTCCCTGCCTCTCCTCCCCTCTCCTTCCTTCTTCCCTCCTCAGCCCCTTTGCGGAGCACTCCGTGGCCTTTCTTCCCATATTTTGCTGCTGTTTTGCCAAATGGTAAATGGTTAAGATTTTTAGGTAAAAATACTGTTCCCAGGGAAAAAATTGTAAGGAGGAAAAAATAATTATTCTCAGGGAAAACTAGACCCACGCACGCCCTTTTCTTTCATTTTGCCTCTTCCCTGCTACATCGGTTTGGGTCTCCCGTTTGAGCTGATGGCCTTTTCCCACCTCTTATTATGACATTGCGTACCCCCTACCCCACACCCCTCCGTGTCTCGCGAGCACGCGCCCCCGCACAGAAGCTTTCCATCGCAGCCCCCTCCTTGCCCCTCCATCCTCAAGGTTCCAGTGCGTCTTCTCTCCCGCGCATGCGCAGGCACACGCAGCACACACCCTCTCACACACCCTCTCACACACCCTCACACCCTCACACCCTCCCAAGACTTCCCCCTCCTCTATCCGCCTACGACATACACACCTCTAGCACCGGCCCCCTCCCTGCTCGGCCTCTGCGTGCTCTCGCGAACACATGCCTATTCACACACCCCCTCAGGCTGCTCTCCTTCTTCCTTCCTGTCATATACACACATAAGGACATCCTTCTATTGCTGGCCAGTGACATGCATATACAGCCACATGTGCTCATTCATACCCCCTCCTCAAATGCTCTCCTCTATTGATCTCTCTGCCACGTGTGTCAGACACAGCTCTTTCGCTGGTCCCTGAGGTGCACACACACACTCACATAAATCCTTCTATGGGGACACCACCTGCTTCCCTGCTTGCCATATCCACACAGGCAGGCATCGTTCTTTGATTGCCGGCCTCTGTTTCATCCACCTCAAGCGCATCCGTCTCCAGTGCTGCGCCACTCCCGACCCCCGCTTCCGTTTGTGCCTGCTGCATTTGCTCACACTGACATTTCTCCATTGTTGCCTCCCATTTTGACTAACATACGCACACACAAACTCTCAGACACTCCTCTCCATTGCCAACCATACACTCCCCTGCCTGTGACATACACATAAACATGGGCATCCTTCTGTAGTTTCAGCTGCCACACATATAGCGACACACACAAACACCTTCCCTTTCCTCATACATACACACACCCCTCTCCTCCAAAGCCACCCCACCCATGCCTGTCATTTTCATACCCACATCCAGAATCATTCTAACACTCATACCCTTTCCCCCTACAAACAATAAACATCCCTCTGTTGCAGGATTGCTGGTCCCCTTCCACCTGTCCCTCTCCTCTTGATAGACACATAGGCACTTGTGCGCACACAGCGATCTGTATTTTCCACTCTATTCCAATTTGCATTTCTCCTGTATGTCTGCAGCACTCAGAAGAACGCAGACACTCCATAAAAAGAAAACTACAACAGACTTTCCTTTCCCCACATTGGCACAATTCTACAGTACTTCACCCACCTTCCAAGTGTCCGGTCACCCCCCATCTTCCGTCAGATTCTCCCCTAAGTCTGGCTTTCCTGCAAACCCAGTCTTGTAATCATTTTGCCAACATTAAAAATGTGTTTCAGGTCTACACCTGTCACTGAAATGCTACTCCAGGCCTTAGAAGAAAGTGAAACTAAATTTAAAGGCCCCTTATTATTTCAGTTACCTGCCTGCTGAAGTGAAAATAAATCTCCCTGCTCCTTTATTCTAAACTGATTTTACTTTCCCATCTGAAAAATGTGTGCAGGGAGCAGGAATCTTCCTGCCCGAGCCCCAGCTGTATTGAAAACCCTCCTAAGTCAGAGTGATGGGTCAGGAATCTAGCAAGCCTGTATGGCCCAATCCAACAGGAGGGTATCAGTCCAATACAGGTAGGAGGTATGGAAGAAGGCATGCTTATGTCAGTTTCAGGCCACCCACGAGCCAGCGGGAAAGGATTGCCAGCCAGAGAAAGACGAACTCCAAAGTCCCAATGCACAGATCAGCCTCCAGTCAAACCACCAAGAGGAGCCGATCGCCATTTTCCACTACTCGTCGTAGTTGGGACGACAGCGAGAGTTCGGGAACCAACCTAAATATTGATAATGAGGACTATTCCAGATATCCGCCAAGAGAGTACAGAGCTTCGGGTAGCAGAAGAGGAATGACCTATGGACATATTGACTCTTATGGGGCAGATGATAGTGAGGAGGAGGGGGCTGGGCCTGTTGAGCGACCGCCAGCGAGAGGAAAAACTGGCAAGTTTAAAGATGATAAGCTGTATGACCCAGAGAAAGGGGCAAGGTCTTTGGCTGGGCCACCTCCACAGTTCTCTAGTTTTAGCCGTGATGTGAGAGAGGAGCGAGACAAGTTAGACCCAGTCCCTGCAGCAAGATGCTCAGCTAGCAGAGCTGACTTCCTGCCACAAAGTAGTGTGGCCTCACAGTCGTCTTCTGCTGAAGGCAAGGTGGCTACAAAAGGTGACAGCTTGGAGAGGGAGAAAAGGGAGCAAAATTTACCTGCACGTCCCAGCAGGGCTCCTGTGAGTATTTGTGGTGGTGGGGAAAACACCTCAAAGAGTGCAGAGGAACCTGTGGTCAGGCCCAAAATCAGAAACCTGGCAAGTCCAAACTGCGTGAAACCAAAAATTTTTTTTGATACTGATGATGATGATGATATGCCACACAGTACTTCCAGGTGGAGGGATACTGCCAATGACAATGAAGGCCACTCAGATGGCCCAGCAAGAAGAGGCAGAGGCGAGAGTTCAAGTGGCTATTCTGAGCCAAAGTACCCTGAAGACAAACGGGAAGTGAGGAGTGACCAAGTGAAACCAGAAAAGGTGCCGAGACGACGACACACCATGGCCGACCCTGACTTCTGGACACACAGTGATGATTACTACAAATACTGTGAGGAAGACTCTGACAGTGACAAAGAGTGGATTGCTGCTCTGCGTCGGAAGTATCGAAGCCGAGAGCAAGCCCTGTCCTCCAGTGGCGAAAGCTGGGAGACTCTGCCGGGGAAAGAAGAGCGGGAACCTCCACAGGCTAAGGTGAGTGCCAGCACTGGCGCCAGCCCCGGCCCCGGTGCTAGTGCCAGTGCTGGGGCTGGCGCCGGGGCCAGTGCTGGCAGCAATGGCAACAATTACCTTGAAGAAGTTCGAGAACCATCTCTTCAGGAAGAGCAGGCATCCCTGGAAGAAGGAGAAATTCCTTGGCTCCAGTACAATGAGAATGAGAGTAGCAGTGAGGGGGATAATGATTCTGGTCATGAGTTGATGCAGCCTGGGGTATTCATGCTGGATGGAAACAACAACCTTGAAGATGACTCCAGTGTGAGCGAAGACCTAGAAGTGGATTGGAGCCTCTTTGATGGATTTGCAGATGGGTTAGGAGTGGCTGAAGCCATTTCCTATGTGGATCCTCAGTTCCTCACCTACATGGCACTTGAAGAACGCCTGGCCCAGGCAATGGAAACTGCCCTTGCACACTTGGAGTCTCTTGCAGTGGATGTGGAGGTGGCCAATCCACCAGCAAGCAAGGAGAGCATTGACGCTCTTCCCGAGATCCTGGTCACTGAAGATCATGGCGCAGTTGGTCAGGAGATGTGCTGCCCCATCTGCTGTAGCGAATATGTGAAAGGGGAGGTGGCAACTGAGCTGCCATGCCACCACTATTTCCACAAGCCGTGTGTGTCCATCTGGCTTCAGAAGTCAGGCACCTGCCCTGTGTGCCGCTGCATGTTCCCTCCCCCACTCTAAAGACCAAGGCTGTTTACTCCTGGTCTGATTATTTTCCCCATCTGAAATCCACAATACTGCAGGAGCCCTCTTGAAATTAACAATGGAAACAAAACCAGTCAGTCAGTTAGCCTAAACCTATTGATTCCTCGTGATTATTTCCAATGTGAAAACAGTTGTGTATGATTGCATTAAAAATCATATCATCTTTTAGAGGTTAGAAAAGGGAAAACTAAACTTTATAAATGCTACTTGAGATTGCAGTAAGAACATACGTTTTCTAACCTGAAAGTTAAATCGCATTTGTTTTCTTCAGTAGAATGTGTTGCTGTTACTTGTAATGTCAAGTGTATCTGTTAAATATGTCCAAAAGGCAAAATCATTTTTGTTGCATGTTATGGGTCAATGTTCCTGTAATTGCAGTGCTGTAAAAGCTTATTAAAGTTTTTCTTTTGGTTTTACATGGTATAATGGAATTCTTTGGTTTTGTCTGAAACAGTGGTACTGAATGACTTTATAATTGATCCCTTGCATTTGCATCAAAAACTTTAGTTTCACTGGAAATGCTGACTTCAACAATCGCAAAACAACCAAAAAAAAAAAAAAAACAACAACAAAAAAAATGAGGGCAGTGACTTTAAAAGTAGGAATAAAGTGTATGGTTGTCCAGCTACTACAGGGAAAAAGTCAAATAGATGAAGAAGGAAGAAAACAAAGAAGGAAAGAAAGAAACAATAAGAAAGCATGGTAAAGAAACAAAACAATGGCAGGATTAAGTCCAAACTGAATGTAGGGATGAATGAGTTGAAATCACCTTTGAGAAAATAGAAACTCTCAGAGGGAATGGGTCCAAAAAAATAAAGCTATATGCGAATTTTATAGCTTAACACAGTGACACAGATAGGAATAGAAAAAATATGCCACACAAGTGCTACAGGAAAATACAGGTACTCACCTACACAGGTTTTAACATTTGGCTATATTTGCTTCAGAGATGTCTCTCTCTCTCTCTCTCTTTCTCTCTCTCTCTCCCGCCACCCCTCTCTTCTCTCTCTCTCTCTCCAGTAAATAATTTTTTTTAAGCACAGGTGAAGTTCCTCAGCCCATAATATTTACCTTCTTTCTTACACAGAGGTAAGAAACACACCAGAAAATGGTGTGTTTACTTCTTGTGTGTGTCTTTAGACATATATATGAGTGTGTGTATGTATGTATATGTGTGTATATATTCATAATCAAATACAGTATTAATGTTTTTTAAATGGATATAATTGATAGACTATATATATCATTTTGCAACTTGAATTTTACGCTCAACAGTGTTTTGGAGACTTAGCCATTTCGATATATGTGGATCTAGTTCATGCAGTTTTAACTGCTGTATACAAAATATTAATTGTATGAATTACCACACCTTATTTATCCATTTCCCTACTGGTGAACACTTAGGTTCTTCCCAGCATTTTGCGGCAATGAACATACTAAACAGATGTCCTTTTGTGCACATGTGTGAAGTTCTCTAGAGGTAAGTATATGGAAGTGAAATTTCTGGGTTCTAGGGTTTGAGCATCTTCACCCCAACTAGATATTGCCAAATTGCTTTCCAAAGTCATTGTACTTGTTCATGCTCCTACTAACAGTTTCTGAGTGCTATTTCCGCACATCTCCAACAGGCTGGATGTTTTTCAAGTTCAACCTGACTCATAATCGGTGACATGTAAATTAACACACCGATGAAACATATTACATCTATCAGAAGCCAATAGCTTTTCTTCATGATAAGATCTAGTTTGGGCTAGGAAGAGATGAAATGAAAAGACTCATGGGGTTGGTGTGCATATAAACTATAGCAGTCTTCTTGGAGAACAGTTTGGGTAGTAGCTATCTATCAGCATATTCAATTGGTGCATGCACTTCAGCCCAACCTGGGTTCCTTGCTAGTATGGAATTAAAACTATGCAGCAGTTAAAAGTTGGATGTACTGATACGAAAAGATCTCCAAGACAGTGTTAAGAAAGCATAGTGTAGAGTAATATGTACAGTGTTTGTGTAAAATAAAACCTTACAAAACCAAACTTTATATGAAAATGCCTAGGAATGTCTGGAAGGCGACATGCCTAACTGATGGCAGGGGTTACCTCTAGGGAGGGACGGAGGATTGGGGGAAAGCAGTCAGGAAGGAGGCTTTTGTTTTTCACCTGAAATAATGAATTTGCTTCATATTTTTTACAGTGTCAGTGCATTTTCATGAATATTATTACAACAAAATAAGCAAAATCAAAAAATTTTCCAATTAGGAAAAGCAGGATGTCATTCTTCTCTCACTGCAAGTACAGAAATGTGGGTTGAAACTGCAGCTCTTTTTTCTGCAACTGGTCAAGCTGATATTTATGACTTCATCCCTCACAAGTCATTCTAGGTTTCCCCTTGGCCTTCAGCCAGCACCTCAGCTGGTTATGGAGGCTCAGGAGTCTGAGTCCTTGGAGAGCCCTTTTAGGGTGGGGTTTTGGAGGTTTACCATTAACCTTTGCTGTGCTCTGACTGGCACCACCTAAGGAGGTATTTTAGGAGCACGCTTGGGTCCTAATCATCTTCCTTTCTGTTGCTATTGCATAGCAGTGACCCTAATTTCCCTTTTAGTCAGAATTAGTCTCTGCACAGAAACAGAAAGGGACACTTACCCAGTGCTCAAAGCCCCCTGCTGGTGTGCTGGAGCAACCTGCTACTGCAGTGTCTTGGTGGACTTGAGGCGTGCTCTACCAGGAAAGCCCACAGGCCCCAGGACCTGTACTTCTGGGGCCCTGAGCAGCTGTGACTTGGACCTGGGACATCAACTAAGCCCATCATACACTCGTGCCCAGTACTTTAAGGCTGGAGGGAGAAAGTCAGAGAAGCAGGGATCCTGAAGCATTTGTCCCCATGCTGCTGTGGTGATGATGGTGGTGGCAGCAGGGGCGGCAGCAGCAGTGGTACGGGGTGGCAGTGATGTGGGTCCCGTGCTGACAGTGCTGGCAGCCAATAGCTCCTATGGCAGGATGTGGCTGTGTGCTTGGCTGCCCAGTTCCTTTGCTCTTGCCAGTTTCTGATTCTCCAGCCTCTCTGACAATTCCCCAAGCTCCTCTACAGCTTTCCAATAAAACTTTTCTGATTCAACTAAACTAGCATTGGTTTCTGTTGTTTGTAACTAGGAACCCCAAGTACTTGCCAATACCATAGCCCACTTTTGTGGCTGTTTTCCTCATCATATGAGATATTCCACATGGCCAAGGGTCAGGCAGTTTCTATTTATGATGCAGTGGACCTGTCATTGGCACCCGGGGCCATGGTTTTAGAACAGCAGGCCTCAGGGGCCTCCAGACATGAAGCAGTCATTTATGAGAATAAGTTGTTTGGATATTCATTGAAGGTATCACCCACTACACTTTACTTCTGGGTTTCTGGTCTTGTTTTCTGGCTGTGAAATAAAAAACCCCAGATTTGGTCAATCATTTGAGGCATAAAGCACTACATCTTGCAAGAGAGCACTGTAACTTCCTGAGGTGGTCTCCCCAGCTGGCACTACAGCTGAACCATTAGAAGGCTCTTACTGTGCCCTAAGGCCCTACCCTTCTCTTAGCCCTTTGTTTCAGTGAAACCCTTCCATGGAAGTGCCTAAGGACCTCTGACCTGAAGTGTCCTTTCCAGCTCTGTTTAAATTTTATTCATCCTTTAAAAAGTTCATCTGTGGCTGGGCGCAGTGGCTCACGCCTGTAATCCCAGCACTTTGGGAGGCTGAGGTGGACTGATCACGAGGTCAGGAGTTTGAGACCAGCCTGACCAATGTGGTGAAACTCCGTCTCTACTAAAAATACAAAAATTAGCCAGCCATGGTGGCGGGTGCCTGTAGTCCCAGCTACTCAGGAGGCTGAGGCAGGAGAATGGCTTGAACCTGGGAGGTGGAGGTTGCAGTGAGCCGAGATCGCACCACTGCACTCCAGCCTGGGCAACAGAGCGAGACTCCATCTCAAAAAAAGAAAAAAAAAAAACTAATTTGCCAGCTCCTGAAAAGAAAAATTCAATATCCCCTAGCTCCTTGCCTCTCTGTGTCTCCCATCTCTAAGTTCTTGATGTCAAAAGCTATGTGTGAGCCATTTCTACAGTCCCAGCATGCACTGCTTGGCACAAAAGTGTTCTGCAACACTGGGTGACAGCGTGAATAGATTCCTCTCCCAAGGTAGGCTCAAGCAGGGGCTGTGTTCAGAGAACGCAGTAGGAGTCATGGGGACTTGGACCAAGCTTAGCCCCACTCCCACCCCCAGCCTCTGAGGCCCTGGCGCCCCCCTCCCCTCCTGCCACCCTCTCAACCCTCAAACTCTATCCCATTTTCTGTTTGTCCTGTGGAATCCCCAGTGTGTCAGAGGCTGTTCTCATACCCAAGGCCTGTGGAGAGAAGGTAGCGTTTATCTGAAGATGGAGAAATACATGGCAACAAGCTTCAGCACACCCCTCTTGGACCTGGATTGAACCTCTGAATAAAATGAAGCTGATAGGGTGTTTGCCGACACGGTCCCAGCCTTGCACAAGGTCTGGTGTGGAGCAAGCCAGATTCTGGGACCCCTGGGCAACCCTTTCAGCCTGCCTTGGCATATGCCTCTGCAGCCTGGAACTTAGTGGCTAGGCCCTTTGCTGTGGGTTTTGCTGACCCCTGGAGGCCCCCCTTCCTCCTGTTTCCTCCCTGGGTACTTCACTATCCCAAGAAGGGTGGTAAAACATTAGTGAGACTTCACAATCTCTCACATTTGGATAAGATTTCCCCAGACCCCTTTGCATTCACTGATTTCACTAGACCCTGCCATCAACCCCAGGTGAGTGGTAAGGAGACCAATGTTCAGAAAGGTGATGATATTCTGAAGACAGAGCAAGCGCATGTTTGCTTGGTGGGGGAGGGCAGCAGAGATGTTTTCTCCCCGTCCATCCTAGTCCCAGCGTGGTGGGGAGCACCTGGGGATCTGGACGTCAATGTAGAACCCCCAACTGGCTGCAGCTAGACCCCATTCAGGCACTCTGGTCATAAGCACTGTGTGCTACCTGCGTCCAAGCACAGCACTGTGGGACCAGGGCAAGAGCAGCCCAGGGGCACGCAGACAATAGAAGTCAGGCACTTTGGTAGGAGGAAGAGGAGAAACAAGACACATATGTAGAAGAATTCATACATAGAACTGAGGACTAGCAGATAGTGTCTGCTCATAGTCAAGAGGTGTGTGGCTGGGCCACCGAACCCATGGAGACAGATCTTCAGGGATCCAGGGAACCAAGCCCAAGGCTCTGCTCAGTCAGGACCATGCTCGAATTGCATTCAGCAAAGACATTTCTGCCCACTCTTGCACTCAAAAACGGAGGTTCAGAGTTGGCTAGTTTAGCTCAACAAATATTGATTGAGTTCCTGCCTGTGGTGTGTTCAACTGGGGCCTGCAAGAGATGAGTAGGGCTTAGTCCTTCCCTCAAAAAGCTCATAGTCCAGTGTGGGAGACAGACAAACATAGGTTTGCCATATTCTTTGTGAAAGGCAATGTGGAGGCAGGCACAGGGTGACCTGAGAGCAAAGAGCCTGGCTGGCCCAGCTGGGAAACAGGTAAGGAAAGGGAGTGTAGGATGGGCCCTTTCTACATTGTCGGGTTGTCTTTGACAGTGGGGGTGTCAATTGTTACCATTTGTTTGAAGGGCCCTTTAGTAAAATGTATTAACATTTAAAATCCACATACTTTTTGACCCAGCAATTCCAGTAGTAGGAATTTATGCTACATGTGCAAAAGCACAAAGTTGTTTGTACAAGTATCTTTATTGTTGCATTGTTTGTAGTAGCAAGAGACAGAAAGGCATTTAAATGTCCATTACTAGGGGCCTGGTTTAATAAAT